ATAATTCCCTGGAGCCAGGCTCGTGTACCCTCCCGGGCCGCCAGTACCAGCCAGGAGGGGCACGGATCCAGTAAACATGTGGTTGCATTCAGCCTCCCCAGGATCCTGTCCACGTCCTCGGGAGCCACAGAGTCAAACTCCTCCCATATAATAGTCTCAAGACCTGCTCCCGTCTCCTCCCCCGGGGCCACCCAGTTGGTTCCTCTTCAGTTGTTTTTTGGTTTGTAAGTTCATCAGTTAAAGTCTGAGTTTCCAATTGTAGGCTTAAGGTGACATCTTTGTGTTTCACTCTGGAGTTCATTAGCTCAGTGACTTCAAGAATTTTTTCGAGTATAAGCTTATAGTTAAGTTGTGGGTAGAATTCCTCCATTTCTGTGGTGGTTAGAAATAAACTTTTAGTGGAGGCTATGTTTAGTAAAAGTCAACAAATGTCCATCTCCACTATTCCTAGAGGTTATTTTCACCACCCAGCTGTTTCAGGTTCTTATCTTTTTTAGATAGTGTGAAGACCAATTCTAAAGAATAAACAGGCCTGACAGTAAAAAAAAGTTCAGTTGCTGTACCAGGCTTCACCACAAGATGTCCCCGATAGACTATAAAATCTTTTTCCAGGCAGGGTTAAACTTTTATCCAATTAAATTTTTTTTTCCAAGTTAAGAAATAGATGAGATGATAGATCCCTGTAGTAGGAACTTTTTGGAACCTCCATGGGATTTTCTTGATAAAATACAGCAGTGGTTTACCATTGCCTCCTTCTGCATAGAATGAAATGACACTTTGTCTCTAAAGTGATTGCCTACTTCAGCTTCTTCCTATATCCCTCCTGCACAATATAGGTGCCTACTTGCTTTAGCTGGCAGGGATGCTAGTCGTGCTTTGGATGACTCTGCTGGTAGTATGTAGTCTTGGCAAACATTCCTAACTTTCTTCACTCATCACCCCCTGCCATAAGGAGGCATTTTGAATGTAATCAGTACATTTTGAATGCAATCATTTTCTTTTTGTGTGTTTTTCTTCGATACACACTTATATTTAAGTTAAGTACAAAGCTTAATGGGAACTCTCTCTTCAGATAAATATCACATATTTATTTATTTTGTGCTATGTTTATACCACTATTTCTTCTAAAGGAAGCCCATATCGGTATACATCCTGATTGAAAAGAAAATATAAAGAAAAATCTTCATTTATAAATTTCTGTACAAAGTGCTAATAGGAAGTTTTGAATGATTTCCAGAGGCTGCACAAATATTTTTTTTAAACATTGGATATTGTCTGTCTCTTGTTTGTCTGTCAACCTCAGTTCTTTGGGAAAAAATTCAAAGCAGTTGCTATGCTGTCAGTTTTCGTGGTTTCTGCTGCGGTACATGAATATATCCTGGCCATTTGTTTGGGCTACCTGTATCCAGTCATGTTCTTCTTGTTCCTGTGCTTTGGAAGTAAGTAATAAATATACCCTACAGCAGTATAGCAAAATGTTGAGAAAGGTTTTTTTTTAATAATAAATGGCTAATTTGCAAAATGTAATCTTGTGAGGTTCCAGTATGGCTAGCATTTGTAAACTCTGATCCAGAAGCCATCTGTGATCTCAGATGACATCCACTCTTTTCCGGAGCCAGTTTTGAAGTTGATGGCAGAGTTGCTCAGTGGGAATATCTTAGGTATAGAGTACTATTGGAGAACAGGTGGGGTGAGTGAAGCCTGCCCCTGATTTGCTGGGGAACATTGTGAGAGTAGAAGGAAAAAAACAGAGAGTAGAGTGAAAGTTTCTCTCTCCCTCCTCTTAATAGCTGTGTGTTCTGCCTTTAATTTTCCCATATTAGAGTATAAAATCCAAATTACATCTTGACCAGTGTTACTTTTCAACCTGATAGACTAGCCCTGTAATGTATTAAAACGTGTTTTATCATTGCAACATTGTTCTGATGCATTTGGGAGTAGAGCGGGGAGTAGAGTTTAGAGTCTAAACGGTTGTTTCCTTCCTTCAGTGGTTTTCAACTTCATTCTCCATGACCGGCGGAAAAACCCCATTTTTAACATCTTCATGTGGACATCTCTCTTCCTTGGCCAAGGTGTCCTTATTTGCCTTTATGGGCAAGAGTTATATGCCCGTCAGTATTGTCCCAGAGAAAATGTGAGTAATCTGTTTGTAATAAGAATAGGTTCAGTTACTATTCAGAGCCATGAATTTAGAGACAAGAACTACAGAAAAACATTCATAATTTATAAACATTGTATTTAAGTTGCAGCACTCTGCGTAGTTGAAAAACTGTACATGAATAGGAGTTGTTTGAATGTTGAGTGGCATAAAAGTTAAGTATGTTAAAAATTAAAGCTTGGGAAACTCTGAAAAATATGATTACAAAAGTGCAGTCCAGCTCAATAGCACTGAAAAAGAAAAACAAGAAAAAACAGCATCATTGAATAAAGAACTCTCTGACCAACTGAAGGATGAAAAGGATAAGTACAAAAAAATAGAAAGAGGGACATATAACCAAGGCAGAATACCCACAAAATACAACAAATGTTGTATATAGTATGTTTAAATGTGTGTTATGTATGTGTACACTTTGAGAGCAAGCAACTAAATTTCATTTTTAATGTGTGCCATTGTGCCCACAATAAAAAATGACAATAAAGGTTATCTATCTAACAAATAGCCCTAACCTGCAAAGATGAAGTCAGGAAAGCTAAGGCTCAGAACAAAGTAAAACTTGCAACAAATTTAAAACAATTTAAAAAAAGTTTCTTTCAACACATAAAAAACAAGAAAAAAGTCAAAGAAACAATTGGTCCACTAATGGGAGAAAATGCCAAGGAAGTAATGGGCAGTAGAGAGAAAACAGAATTGCATGATTCATTCTTTGTATTTGTTTTTATGCAAAACAAAATACAATCCAACTTACTAAAAACAAAACTGTAAAAGATAGTCTAGGAATGCAAATTAAAATAAGCAAAAATAAGTTAAGAGAACACCTGTCAGCTCTGGACAGATTTAAATCAGTGAGTGCTGATGGGTTACATCCCAGAGTTCTGGCAGATGTGATTTCAGAACCATTGAACCACATCTTTCAAAGTTCTTGGAGCACAGGAAAACTACCTGAGGACTGAATAAGAACTGATGTGGTCCCCACCTTCAAAAAAAAAAAGGGGGGGGGACAGATCTAGGAAATTTCAGACCAATAAGTACCTGAGAAGATCTTGGAAAAGATAATAAACAAATCTGCAAATACCTAGAAGCAAACAAAGTTATAACCAAAAGCCAACATGGGTTCATCAAAAACAGATCTTGCCAAACAAATCGTATTTCATTCTTTAACAAAGTGGCCAAATTAGTGGATCAGCAAAATGCTGTGGACATAGTATACTTAGATGTCAATAAGGCATTTGACAAAGTAGATTACAACCTATTTCTTGGTAAGTTAGAAAAATGTGGGATAGACAGCATCACCACCAGATGGATTTGTAACTGGCTGACAAATCATTATCAATGTGTCATCCTCAATGGAGGTACATCCACATGGAGGGAAGTAAGTAATGGGGTACCCCAAGGTTCTGTTTTAGGCCCAGTACTCTTTAATATCTTCATAAACAATCTAGATGACATAATAGAAGGGGAACTCATCAAATTTGCAGATGACACTAAGCTGGCAGAAATAGCCAACACCCCAGAAGACAGACTCAAAATCCAAAAGGATCTTCACAGACTTGAACACTTGGCCCTATCTAACAAAATGAAATTTAATGTTGATAAAAGTAAGATTTTACACTTAGGCAAGAAAAACCAACTGTACAGGTACAGAATAAATGAAACTTGGCTCAGTGCCAATAGCTGTGAGAGGGATCTTGGAGTCTGTCTGGACTTTTATTAGCAAGAAGGAGAATCTTGTAGATTTGGGAGAATCCTAAGTTCTTCTATAAATTCTTTGCATTTCCTGGTTACCAAATGAAAATATATCTGGGTTATTGTGTGATTAAATGTGGTTTATTGGATGGTGCAATGGACAAGACAAAGTATTCTACACTTTTTGCCTAACATTCCTTTTCTCTTGTTTCTTCTAGCCAACTTTTCTGGATTATGTGAAACCACGTTCTTGGTCTTGCCATCTTAAGATATGAAGACCTCTGAGAATTATTTTTAGAACAATATTAGAAGATGCTCTGTAGTCAAACAATAACAAACTGGGTCCAGTGATATAAATGAGTTGAGCCTTCTTTTATAAGAAATTGTATGTATTTCTGGAAAATGATGGCATTTTGGCACACAAGGCAGCTAAACTTGTCCAAGGCTCAATAGGTGTTTCTCATTCCAAGCTCATTCCAATATGAGTCATTTCCATGCTGGTCATGAAATATGCTAAAAGGTTAGTGAAGAAATTTCTAGTTAAATTTTGCCTATTGCAAATAGTTCTCTATGTATTATTCCTTTTACCTACTATTTCCTTAAAAAGTAGTTTTCTGTGATCTGGATAATAGTGACCATTTGCATAAGTCTTCGGTCAGAATCACACTTGAAATGGGATACTTGAACAGTATTTGTACTACAGAATGAAGAGGCCAGCTGCTGCTTTTGTCCAGAACCTGAGAAAAAAACATTCATGTCTACTCACATTGGGCTTAGGGAAAAATGAGGAAAAATTAAGATACCTTTGTAATTTTTTGTTATTTCTTAAACCATATCATAAAGGATTGCTGAGATATGTTGCTGAGGGCCCTCTTGGGTGGTGAGTCAAAGACATCCTGCCCTTGTAAGTGAATGTATTGATACCTGGTTTAGATCACCTGCAACATGTGGGCTTTTCCTGTAATAGTAATTATATAAATATGTCATTTCGACGGATGCAGCCATGCAACGAATATTTGTAGAAATTGTAATTTGGCCTAAGGTATATAAAAGTTGGGCATGATCCAACACTGCTTTGAAGGGTAAAATTACTGCCTGTATGAATAATGTATTGTGAAAAATATGTCTAATGTTCTGCTTTGACATCTTTCAGTATTTTTCTTTCAAATTAAAGAAAACCTAGTGTTATTGGCTGTACCGTGTAGTACTTCCTTTGATGCTTAGTTTCTTAATAATCTGGCAACACGGAGTGGCCACTTACTACCATGTTCATTTATCTTTGGATTTTTGAACTGTTAACAGAAGAACATATTAAATACTAAAATATGTTGTAAATTACATTACAGGCTTATAGCAAAGTTATTAGGGATAGCCTTGGGGGTTCCATTAACATTCAGACTAGGACCAGTTTCTGTAATAATGATGTGTTCTGCTGAATATCACAGAATTTAAAACAAAATGTGTTTAAAGCTTTCCTTCCCTCTTTAGGTTAAGGCCAATTTAAATGTGATATTATAAACCCAGTTAACAATTGTATGAGACTTTAAAAAAAAAAGCCTGTCATGAAAGGTAGATTTTATACAACCTCTCTTATTTGTTAGGATCTCAGTTTGAAGACTTTATAAGTGAAGCCCTCTTTGTTTACAATCATAGGCAGTTTTTCCCTGTATTGGTAAAAATTCAGACAGACAGCAGATATAGTTTCATACATTAGATTCCTGTGAGCTAGTCTGTCTCAATTATGAGCATACTATCTTCAATATTGAATCTTTTACAAACATCTTTAATATGTGGTCATAATGCCCATTATTTTTACATTCTTTATTGATTATCTCTGCAGTGATACAGAACATAATTAGTATTGAAGAAATGAGAAAAAGTGTTGCCTTGAAAAGCTTCAGTGTTCCAGTTAAAATAGCAGTTTGCTCAGTAAGATTCCTTTGAAAGTAATAATGGGGTGGATTAGGTATGGAACACCCTGAGACATAATTCTGCCAATGTGACACATAATCACTATATTGATAGCTGACAGTTAATACCCTACAGGGCTGATAGAGCCTATAGATAAGTATTAGAGACCTCTGGTTCTCTAGTCAGTGTGAACAATTCACAAGGCATTGGGCTGTGATTCAGAGTAAATAAAAAAAGTTGGAGATGGGGAAAATAAATACAGTTTGTATATATTTGAGGTCTTGCCTTAATTGATTCATAGTTTGCTAGTGCATTATAGATGCTGGTTGTTGTTCTCTTGTTTTGTCTAATTTTGTGAAACTGAACTCATATAGCACTTGTTTTCTGTAGTATAACTTTAATTACTTAACTAAAGTGATTTAACCTAACTAGAGAACACCAGACTCAACTCTTTCAGGATAAAAGCAGCTTAATAAAGCAGCTTAATAAAAGGGCAACTGGTAGATTTTCATTCTGCAAAAATATTTTAATTATCCTTTATTTTCTTAAAATTCAACAGACCGATTTCAATACTCTGTTTTAAAAAAATTCTTAGAAGATGACAAACTGAAAGAAACCTTGGAACATTTGATATAAGATTTACATGATTGATATAAATTAAATCATTAAATCATCTCATTTTAATAGAAAGTTTCACACTGAAAGTTTTCACACTGAAACCAGCTTTTCCTAAAAAAAATATTGTATATGTTTTAAGAATTGCTGGAATGCTTGTATTTATATTTGGTAATTATGTTATGGACAAATCAAATAACATTTACAGAAAGAATACTGAATTTGCTATTTTGAAATAAAACCTGTGTTCTTCTACATTTGTTCTGAAGTAAAAGTTTTGCGTCTCTCTTTAATCTTTTATTTCTTTAAAAGACACAAACTCAATTTTCTGTTTCCATCCTAAAGTCAAACTATAATATGATAGGATCTGCAATTAAAGAATCCAGGATGAAGACAGATGGCAGACGGGAGATGAAGTGCCTCTATTTATAGTAGTGACTGAGAAATGTGTCAAAACCTGCTAACAAAATATTCCAGCCCACAAGCATAAACATCTAGTGCAAGATGTAATGACATCATAAGTCATGACATTACATACAATATATGACATGCTGGAGGTGATTCTTCTCCATTCTCCTTGCAAACAGATGCCCATGTATGCCAGCCCAGCATTTGCAAGCAGGATTACTAAAGCTATATACTGTAGATTGTGTTTAAGAAAACATTGGATTTTGTGACAAATTCTTTGCATGAAATGTTCAGTTGAATTAAAGGGAACACATAGCCAGAAGGTTTTTGAATAATAAAAACATATTATTTGATATTATCATGAAAAGAATCAAGTGCAATATTAACTTCACTATTCATCTGCAAATTCACTCAAAATAACCAGTTTTGGAAAAGAATAAGGAAGGAACTTGGATTAAATCAACTTTTAATTTCTCTCCCAATCATTATAACAACGAACATGTCGAGTTCTCACAATATGTCAGTCGGCATAAACTGGTGTGACTATACTTTAACAACCACGATTCAACTGAACGAAAAAGGACAAAGACCATATCTGATTTAGTCTGGTACATGAACTAAGACTTTTTCAGAAATATACTATTATTCAACTGTAGTAGTGGTTTCTACACAAAGGTGTGAATATAAATTCAAAATGCCTGAATAATTGTGAATGGCATAAAAGATTTTGTTCCTAAAACATGAACTTTCCATTCTTTAAGAATTTTTGGGTTGTATGAGCCTTGCCATTGATACAAAAACAGCATTTATAAGATTTATTGTAATCTAGCCAAGGAAAGTTATTTCTGTGTTTATTTGTTTGAAGAAAACATGTAATGTCCTTAGATAAAAAGTGCCAAATTTTGTTTTCTTCCAAAGGTACACATAGTATCCTAAACAATTTCATTTTTATAGCTTTACAATCTTTTAGATTGAGTAGGAACTTGTAAAATTGAAGAATTTATTGTTCAAGCAAGGTGGTTCAGACTTCCCCCTTGGAAACAATGAAAAGGATTATACCTTTGCTAGGGATAAGAGGAAATGGGATTCAGTTTTCATCCATTGGATGGGTCAAAGACCATGATTTTGAAGCAACTAATTTCATTGACTCGTTAAAAAATGGTTAATTGTAAAATGTATTGAACTATATGTGTGATCTTTGTGTCATGGAAAAAATTATACTGTACTACAGAAACTTAAAATATATTTTGCTATCTGAAACCTGTTGGGGAGCCCCCACCCTCTGGAACGAACTGCCCCCAGAGATCAGGGTGATCCCTGATCTCCCTTCCTTCCGCCGCGCCCTCAAGACGTGGCTGTTCCAACTAGCGGGACTGGCCTGAGGGATTTTAAAGGGGGTTTTAATTACTTTTAAATTGGACATATTTAAATATTTCGTTTTAATCAAATTTTAATTAAGTATATGT